CTTTAGAAAAATATTTCCTAGTTCCTGGACTCGAATATTTTTAAACGGGCTGTATTATTTACTTCAAAATTTCATTTAAATAATCTTTGAATACAAAGCAAATAAAAGTATTCGAAACCGGTTTTTAAAAAGTGAAAAAACCGGGTTATTCGATATTCGAAAAATCAACATTTAGAAAAAACCGACACTGGTAAAGCAGAAAAAACCGGTTTTAAAACCGGTTGAAAAATCGAGTCGATCACCCTAAAATGTACATACTTTTTTAAATTATAAATAAATTTTATATATTTTATATAATTTTTTTGTAATTTCGAAAACTTTTTTATTTAGAGAAGAACTTTGTTAATAAATTTTCAATATACAAAAAAAATACATATTCTATCTTCTATCTATCTATCTATCTATCTATCTATCTACTATCTATCTATCTTCTATCTATCTATCTATCTATCTATCTATCTATCTATCTATCTATCTATTATCTACTATCTATCTATCTATCTATCTATCTATCTATCTATCTATCTATCTATCTATCTATCTATCTATCTATCTATCTATCTTCATCTATCTATCTATCTATCTATCTATCTATCTATCTATCTATCGATTATCTATCTATCTATCTATCTATCTATCTCTATCTATCTATCTATCTATCTATCTATCTATCTATCTACTATCTATCTATCTATCTATCTATCTATCTATCTATCTATCTATCTATCTATCTATCTATCTATCTATCTATCTATCTATCTATCTATCTATCTATCTATCTATCTATCTATCTATCTATCTATCTATCTATCTATCTATCTATCTATCTATCTATCTATCTATCTATCTATCTATCTATCTATCTATCTATCTATCTATCTATCTATCTATCTATCTATCTATCTATCTATCTATCTATCTATCTATCTATCTATCTATCTATCTATCTATCTATCTATCTATCTATCTATCTATCTATCTATCTATCTATCTATCTATCTATCTATCTATCTATCTATCTATCTATCTATCTATCTATCTATCTATCTATCTATCTATCTATCTATCTATCTATCTATCTATCTATCTATCTATCTATCTATCTATCTATCTATCTATCTATCTATCTATCTATCTATCTATCTATCTATCTATCTATCTATCTATCTATCTATCTATCTATCTATCTATCTATCTATCTATCTATCTATCTATCTATCTATCTATCTATCTATCTATCTATCTATCTATCTATCTATCTATCTATCTATCTATCTATCTATCTATCTATCTATCTATCTATCTATCTATCTATCTATCTATCTATCTATCTATCTATCTATTTATCTATCTATCTATCTATTATCTATCTACCTATCTATCTATCTACCTCTCTGGATTCTTTATTCATTTAAAAATATAGGATTTTAAATAATAAGTTAGAAATTATTTTTATGCGATATTTTTCGGAAATTCAAAACTCCTCTTTTGTGTACATATGTACCTATGTTTACATATACCGTTATTCCACATCCGCTACTAAAATAAATTCAAAATCGTTCTAATCTGATTTATCTTTACCATCTGGCAACACTATTTGCTTTTGCCAATCTGACAATATTGCAAAAAAGTAGTCGAATAAAAAATTAGTCATCGTTAGTTGGTGGAAGGTAGCACACTGTATTTTTCGGATAATGTTATAAAATTTAAAGTAGAAGAATATAATAAAAAACACTTTTTTGTGCAAAAACAAAAAATACAAAATAATTTATTTAAAATTATAAACAAAAGTATATAGGAAAAAACAAAACATACGTTCGGTGATAAATGTGAGTAAACAACATGAGAATGCCAAGAAAACCATATGTGAAAAAAGAAAAATTTTACAAAATATTAGTGAAAAATTAAAATAAAAAAATCCAAAAGCAAACCCCCAAAAAATGGTAATATTCATAAATTTTGAAAAAAGAGTTTTAGGACAGGCAAAGCCTAAATAAAAAATACCAACAAAAAAAGCTGCAAACGAAAATTAAAACAAAAGAAATACAAAATTACCAAGAGAAAGAAACGCAAAAAAAAACTCAGCTGCAGTTAGTTGGCAGAGGAGAGCTTACAGATATTTCGAACTTCTTTCTCTAAACAAAATCACACAGAAGATAACACTGTTTTTGTTGTTGTTTTTTTTTTTTCAGCAAGTCAAGTGCGTAAAGTGAATTTTTAATTACAAAAGAAAAAAAGCCAAGATTTTTATATTGACACAGGCATTTTGTTAAAACTTTTTTGTGTTTTTTACATAATTAATAAAAACGGGTTTTTTTTTATAAATAAAATACTAAAGATAATTTTTTGTTTGTTTTTGAATTTTTTGTATTTGTTAAAAGCAAATAATCATGAATTAAGCAAACAACAAGTGCACATTTGGATTTTTGCTTTGATGTTATAATTTAGGAAAAAAATTATTAGTTGAACTAAAAATATAAAAAAATCTCTTCTTTGCTACAACAAGTAAAGAATATAATATTTGCACCGCAAATTTCTAAAGAAAACAATTTTAAGTTTTATGTTTTTTTTAATTATACATTTTGAACTACAATGTTTTGGTTAAAAAAATGTACTTGTAGTTGTTGTTTGTGTGTGTGCGTGTCGTTTGTCAGTTGAGTTTGTGTGAGTGTGTCCATCTAACAAAAAAAAAAAATGTTGCCAGAAATTAGAAAATAATCCATTTCTAGATATGAAATTGTGGAAATTAAAAGTGAAATTGAAAAATACTTAACTGTTTTGACAAATAAGTAATTAAAGTTCACATAACAAATAGTATGTTATTTTCCCATATTCATAAGCCATAAACCATACTGTAGATGGTTTTTTATGTTTTTAGGTTTCATATTATACAACATTAAAAAATAACAGTTATTACAATAAAGTTGCAAAAGTCCACTATCCTAAAATCACTTAATTAGGATCCTATGTGTATTTGTCTGTTTTATGTTTCTAGGTATGAATGTTTTATTGCAGGGAAATGAAAAAAGTGTCAGCCGGAAAGCGAAAAAGTATAAGAAATTCCCCTTTTATAGATTTTCATTCAATAAGGATGCTTTGGGTTTCTAGTATTAATATTAAAAAAATGCTTAAAAAGTACCAGTTTAGGAACAAAAAGTACCAAAAAATTCACTCGTATAGATTTTTATTTTATTCTAGGTCCAATATTGCAGAAACACTAAAAACTACAATTTGAATGACGAAAAAGTACCAGAAACCTTTTCGTTCAAGCAGTACCTATGGGCTAAAATTTGCGTTTCAAGGTTCGATACTATAAAATATTCAAAAAGGATTTTCACTTCATCAGATCATATATTTATAATTTTTTGTTTGTTGGTTCAATTATTCAGAAAACCAAAAAAGTACCAATTGAATAGGGAATAAGTCTAGTCTATAGTGTAGTCTATAGTCTAGTCTATATTCTAGTCTATAGTCAAGTCTATAGTCTAGTCTATCGTCTAGTCTATAGTCTAGTCTATAGTATAGTCTATAGTCTAGTCTATAGTCTAGTCTATGGTCTACTCTATAGTCTAGTCTATAGTCTAGTCTATAGTCTAGTCTATAGTCTAGTCTATAGTCTAGTCTATAGTCTAGTCTATAGTCTAGTCTATAGTCTAGTCTATAGTCTAGTCTATAGTCTAGTCTATAGTCTAGTCTATAGTCTAGTCTTATAGTCTAGTCTATAGTCTAGTCTATAGTGTAGTCTATAGTGTAGTCTATAGTCTAGTCTGTAGTGTAGTCTATAGTCTAGTCTATAGTCTAATCTATAGTCTAGTCTATAGTCTATCTATAGTCTAGTCTATAGTTCTAGTCTATAGTCTAGTCTATAGTCTAGTCTATAGTCTAGTCTATAGTCTAGTCTATAGTCTAGTCTATAGTCTAGTCTATAGTCTATAGTCTACAGTCTAGTCTATAGTCTAGTCTATAGTCTAGTATATAGTCGAATCTGTAGTTTAGTCTATAGTCTAGTATATGGTCTAGTCTATAGTCTAGTCTATAGTCTTGTCTTTAGTCTAGTCTATAGTGTAGTCTATGGTGTAGTCTATAGTCTAGTCTATAGTGTATTCTATAGTCTAGTCTATAGTATAATCTATAGTGTAGTCAATAGTCTATAGTCTAGTCTATAGTCTAGTCTATAGTATAGTCTATAGTCTAGTCTATAGTGAAGTCTATAGTCTAGTCTATAGTGAAGTCTACAGTCTAGTCTATAGTCTAGTCTATAGTCTAGTCTATAGTCTAGTCTATAGTCTAGTCTATAGTCTAGTCTATAGTCTAGTCTATAGTCTAGTCTATAGTCTAGTCTATAGTCTAGTCTATAGTCTAGTCTATAGTCTAGTCTATAGTCTAGTCTATAGTCTAGTCTATAGTCTAGTCTATAGTCTAGTCTATAGTCTAGTCTATAGTCTAGTCTATAGTCTAGTCTATAGTCTAGTCTATAGTCTAGTCTATAGTCTAGTCTATAGTCTAGTCTATAGTCTAGTCTATAGTCTGGTCTATAGTCTGGTCTATAGTCTGGTCTATAGTCTAGTCTATAGTCTAGTCTATTGTCTAATCTATAGTCTAAAGTATGGTCTATAGTCTAATCTGTATTAAGTTTATGATCTAGCGGAAAATTCTTTAAGCACTTTAAAAATTAAAAAAGTTCTACTTTTGTTATAAAGGGGCCTTTACACGATCACACTTTACTTACGTAAAGTCTAATGAAAAAGTAAATTAAGTTAGTACTATTTTAAATTTTCCATGCTAATATATTCATGGGTTGGCAAATGAAAAGGATATAAAAAATCTAAACTTTTATCTTCTTAATCTGGCAACTTTCGAAAAAAAAATAAAATATATCGCCATCGTCTACGACGGCGCTAAAAATAGTCGTCAACTGTAGTAAAACATGATTATTGTGGTGTGTTGCTTGCTGCTGCTTATTCAGTTAGAAAAGCACTGGTAACGAGCGAACGATTTCATTAGTACAAGTAGAAGTATTAGTAGTATAAGGAATCTACACAAAACGCTTTGCTTGTTGGCTGATTGGCAAACTGACTGACTGTCTGGCGGGTCGATACAAACAGTTGAAGTAGAAATATAAAACGTACGGCAGGCAAACGCAAGTGCTGCGCGACTTGTTCATTAAATTTAAAAATAATTGTTCCGATTTTTTAGTTGTTACTCATCCAACACCAAAAAAATTTTAACAAAAAAATAAAAACAAATGAAATAAAATAAGCAAAAAAATAATGTGATTTGTTAGTGCGAATTCTTTACAAGAAATTTAAAATAACACTACTAATTCTAATAAGAAGAAAGAAAAA